TGGGGAATTCTGGGAGTTGAAGTCCACACACCTTAAAGTTGCCAAGGTTGAGAAACACTGCACTAATAGTTCCTCTGTTATCTCCTGCTTCATGTCCATTATTCTTCCCTCCTGGTTCAAGGGCCTCCAGATATTTTGGAGTACAACTCCAACAATCTGTACTATCAGCCGTGCTGCTGGGGATCTTGTAGGATCTCTGCTCCTTGCTTCCAACGAACCCTTGTGCATTGCTAATTATGGACTCTCTGGGGTAGGGGTAGGGTCTGTGACTTCTGTCCTTGAAACTAAGTTCCCATCTGACATCCTGCTTCTTAAATCCATCTTCTTGTTCCCAGGGTTGGTATATTGTGACATACGCCTTGGGTATCTACCACCTAAACCTGTTCATAGCTTTCTTGTCGCCAAAGGTCGATCCCTCGCTCATGGAGGATTCAGGTATAAAGCCAGAATATTGGCAATTTTTTTTAAATTTTCTATGGCTGTGGTTGATCTTGTTTGTTCCCGGACTGTGTTGTTTGGATGTACACCTCACATAAACCACAAAGTGATTTTTCTTTGGCATTGGGTTTAGTATCTTGTGTGTACCCCTCCACTTGGATTTTAAACCATGGTTTATGGCTTAGGGTCCTGTGTAATCTCAGCAACTTGTGCTTGATTCTATAAACCATAGTTCCACAGACTATGGCTTAATGTAGTGGAGGAGCCCAGCAGTTTTACAGCAACCTTCTTCAATGTGGTGGATGACTGGAGATGATTGATTGATTGTATTTGAACCATCTAAAATAGACAAGTGTCAGGCCTAAAGACTCTTCAGAAGAGCTCTGTCTTCAACTTCTGGTGCTTCAGCTCTTCCAATGGGAGGCCAGGCACCCTCCAACTGCTTTTCCAGCAAGATGAAACAGCTTGGGACAATCCAAGTGGGCCAAGGTAATTTGGTGCCTTCACCAAGGGGCACGTTCTGGAAGTTGTAGTTGAAGCGCCAGGTGGAGAAGCTGGATATATTTGGCCCTAGAACATTCAACTTTTGGGATATGATTGTGGTGTTTTTTTGGGTTGTCACTCGATTATTTTCTGTGCCAGCCCCACTGCATGTTTTGTGGAAGGCAGGATTGTAACGTTCCCTACAGGAACTGGTTTATCGCTGTCCCACTGCATATTTGATTTTTAATCATTGGATGAGTAGGGAGAATGCTGACCAAACTTTTGTTAGAATTCCTAATTTATTTATTTCTCTATTCCTCCCCACCTCCCCATTGGATTAAAATCCCTTTTCTGTCACTTTTGAATGATGAGGCTAATTTACGTTTTGGGTTTTCTAAGGAGCCGCACTGCAGTTTTCCTTCCACGCAACATGCTGATCCTTTTGTATTCTTTGTACCTTATTTTGGATAAAATTGATCTGGCATTATCTTCAGGGCAATCATGGTATATTTAATAGCCTAGTCTTAGGGGATCAGATTGGAAACAGCTGTCTGTGGGCTCAGATCTCTGTTGCTGGAGGATGTATTTATGCAACATGCTAATCTAAAAAACTCATTGACTGTTTGACTTGATCCCTGTGACGCTCCGCTCTCTAAATAAGCTTTGTAGATTCCAGCATTATTTGGACGTGAAATGGGTATACCATTTGGGGTTCTGGAACCTGGGACTTGCAACGTACATCGTGCAAAAAAAAATTCAGGTCCTGAACCCACCTTTGCCTGCTGAACAGGCTCTCCCCCCAAGTTGTCATCTTGAACAAATCCTAACTTAGTTGTCATTAAATCAATCCTTGAGGGAGCTGCTGTTTATAAATCCTTATGTTTCCATTTTTCAGATGAAGGGCCTTCATTACCCACGAAACAAAACGAAGAATTTCGGCCCTTTATTCGCAGGCTGCCAGAATTCAAGTTTTGGTGAGTGAATTTGAATAGGTTTCAAATAGGTTTTTGAATAGGTTTTTCCTTTTGTGCTCTTCTGACCTTCCCATAGAGCTTTGTTTTTCAACCTTGGCGACTTGAAGATATGTGGACTTCAACTCCCAGAATTCCCCAGCCAGCCATGCTGGCTAGGGAATTCTGGGAGTTGAAGTCCATACATCTTCAGGTTACCAAGGTTGAGACACTCAGCTGGATCTCAACCTCACCCTTCATGTCTTCCATCATGGGCCCTAGTCAACGTCTCTCCCTCTCAGTTATTCCTTGCATTGCTTCTTGACACACAAGAGGCTGTTCACAGTCTCTCTCCTGTTACCTTTCAGTTGTGAGATTTAATGGAGTTGAAGCTCTTTGGAAGCCCTGCGGTGACTAATCAGCAAACCACAGTTTTGATCAAATTGCTGTCCCTTTCTTGGTGGCGGCCGCTCATTTTAATGCCCTCTTTGAATGGATGTGCTCTTTCCTACTTCTGAACAGCAGTTTGAAATCTGCTTATGGACAGTGGTTTTGGTGGGGGTTAAAGTTAGCTTACTGATCCAGAAGTGTCAAGGCAAGATTTGGGGTGCACATGTCCTGTAAGTGCTAACCCCGGCTTGATTTCTTTTCCAAAGGCATTCTGCCACTAAAGGCATTCTTGTTGCCATGACGTGCACGTTCTTCGAGGCTTTCAATGTTCCAGTTTTTTGGCCCATTCTTGTGATGTATTTCATTATGCTGTTCTGCATCACGATGAAGAGGCAAATCAAGGTGAGGACGGAAGGCTTTAGACCCTGCAGCAAGGGGGAGATGGTTGGGACATCATGGCTGCAATGCCAGGGGACGTGATCACTGAATTCGCCCATAGGGGGGCTGGCACAGCATTTGGAACCAAAATAAATATACCTAACAGGGTTTTGCATGCTGGACAAGCGCAGCTGCTAAGTTCTCCTCCTGTTTAAGGAATGTGTGAACGCAGCCAGAGACTGATCGTATCCTAAGTAACAAAATTCTCGAACCCCCTTTCATGCCAAGCAAATTTAGCTGGCTTCACCCATTGCCAAAACGTAGCTTGTTTGGGGCTGCGCATCGCACTGTGCCAAAATTAATCTAAGTCGCAGATTGCTTCACCCTGATCTGTTGGGTGAGCCTTATTGGCTTGAGTTCATAGAGCATCTTAAATTGTGGCTTAATTCATGACCCTCATCAAGTGTGTCCTGCACAGAAAACTGTAGCTTAATGTGTGAACAGAACCCTTGTTTGTCTAATAGATCAGCACTTGGAGGTGCTTCTAGCATTGTGGAAGATGGGAGGAGAGAAGGGAGGGAGATAGAGAGGTAGGTAGGGGGTGTCTAAGAAATGTGTTTTTTGTTCCAGCATATGATAAAATATCAATATATACCTTTCACACATGGCAAGAGGAAATACAAAGGGAAAGAAGACGTGGGGAAGACTTTTGCTAGCTAGAAATCCAATTTGGAACCTGCTGACCAACTTCCTGCATTATAATTAAAAGACCAGTTTTGAGCCATTGTAACAATGCCTCTGTCCTTCATAATAAGTCTTCAATAAGAGGGCGGTGATTAAGAAGATTCATTTCTGTCTCTTCAGTTGATTGTGGGTCTGGTTTCTCACTCCTTTCGGTGTCACAGGAGAATTCTGCATTTTAACTGCATCTTCTGAATGTGTTGCTCTGTGGGAACAAGCTGCTGTTTTATCCGTCCACAGCCTGCTCTCCCCCCCCGTCCCAATTTTCTTTGTTCGGCAAAGGCAGCTATCGCACATTTACACACATGCGTGTCTTTCATAGGAAGCACACAGTGTGGGCCCTGGGATCTTGGACTTCCAAGTTTGGCTGGTGGTTTCGCAAGCTTTTGAAGGGGCCGCTTGTGCGTATTGCAAACGTGTGTGTTCGTGCACGCAGAGCAAAGTGGGTAGGGAATTTGAAGCAGAATATTCTTTGGAAGGTCTGCAGCTGGTATGGAATGGAAGAATCCTGAGAGTTGTTTTTTTTGGGGGGGGGAGTCCTTTTTTATTCTCCAATCCAGTACGTACCCTGTACCTTGCTGAAATGAGATAATCAGAATACAAGAATGGGATGCAGTGATAAACGTTCAACTTTGACATCCCTTGGATTTAGAGAGGTAATTGATACCCCTGTGCCTATTATAACTTAATTTGGGCATTTAAAATAAACCTGTCTTCATTGACTGAGAGGAGGAATCGGACTTGGCTTTTAGGGCGAAGAGGTGGATGATGGGTTGGGTGGTTTTTGGGGGGGTTTTGTTTAGTCATCAGCTGTTTTGTAATTATTCAAAATTTAACTACCATGATTTTTTTTTAAATTTTGGAAAAGGCCTGGAATAATAATTACATGTATATATAATATTAGGTAAAGAGTATTTTGACACATTTCTTTGAGTTTTTTTTTTTTTTTAAAGTTTGCTTCATAGCCCTTTCCAAGATGCATCTAGATTGGACGCAGCAGACTGAATTTTATGGGGTTTTAACCCAGCTTTTAATTTTCTATGGAGAGAAATCTAAAAATAAACAACCTGCATGTAAAACATTTTTGATGTGATATAGCTATGAATGGTTTTATTAAGTGACTTTTTAAATTCCAAACTTTATTAAAAGACATTGTCCCTTTCTTGGGTTCAGCAGTCTTTATAAAACCAATGTAAAGAACTGTATTACGTTTAAAGTTTTCTCTCCATCCTGCTTTCTTAAACGCATATAATTTAATCTTGTGGAATATTGTATTTTAGCTGTCTCAATAAAAACAGCCCTTTGCACTATTGTACAAATATTATCTTGAAAGGTAAAGTAGCAACTTACTGGCAACTCCAAAAGTAAATGTTTACATTGCATTTTGGCAGAGTGATGACATATTTAAATCTTCTGTGCCATATAGGTCGATTTCTCCTACAGCATTATTTTTTTAAAAAAAGCAGGTTGTGGGCTCTTCATGCGATAGGAAATTTTGCTTCTTTTTTATGTAAAAAAAAAAAAAAGGAAACATGTCCTTTTTTCCAGCTTGACTACAAGGGACAAAGTGTCAGTGCCCCTCCATTTAGAAATGGGATCTTTAATCAGCTTTTCAGAAGCAAATGCTATTGGAACCAGTCAGACATAACCACACAATTAAGGCTTGGTAGCCTGGGTGATGGGAACATCAGCTGTGGCCTTCCAGGTGTTGCTGGACTTCCAAGATTCCTCCCTGCTGCCTGGGGCAGTATGTCGGAAGTACCAGGAAGGGTGCATTTCATGGTCTCTTGGTATCAATATTGATATTTCCTCTGATTGCTGTGTCAAATTTAGAGATTCTCCTCTGCCAGCTCGAGGCGCATTAAACTCAGAAGATAGCAATAGAGAAAGACCCACAAACATGTATACTTTGAGCAGCAGATGCAACAAGGGCACCAAAGCTTGAAGAGTGATTTTTCAAGAGAGCTGTCCGGTGCTTCAGATTCGATTCCCCAAAGGTGCTTACAGAAGCCAGATCTGTGAACTGTAAAAGCAGCTGTGTCTGTAGAATTGAATCCAAAGCCCTGTACGCCTCTGTTTTACAAGACTGGTATCCAAGATGGCTACATTATACAGCCCTTCTGGATTTGAAACATTTTAAACGCCACCATAAGTAGAATTTAGTTATGTGGTAGTGTGTAAGGTTGGGGGGGTTGCTATTGTTTCTGAAAATATGCTTAAAGCAAAATTGCAGAATTCAAATTTCCTAGGCTGGGTAAAGGTCTAAGAACTTCAAACTGCTTCTCAGGTGCTCCTCGCTCCCTGACCTCAAACCCTCTCAGACAAAAGTGGATCGACAGCAGTTTGTGTTATAAATGGATAGGTTTGTATCCCAAGTCAAATGTTTGGCTTCCGTTCGGTCACAGCAATTTAATATCAAAATAAAGTCTTGCGCTTGGTCAAAGCTTGTATTTTCGTTGGCTCTTAGCAGTTCGCAATCTGGCAGGCGGCAGTTTAACGGAAGTGTCGTAAGTAAATCAACTTTTGGGGATGAAATTTCTCTCTACACAGAGGACACTCAGCCTGCGGGAAGAAAAAAAATGTATTAGGAAATGTAAACCCCTTGAATTTCTTTAAAAACCATCATGGTCTTTCAGTAAAGAATTTACTTCTTCACATGATTTAAAGCATAAACCAGTATGGCTTTCCATTTAAAACGTAATATTACATTATAAAACAGTGGTCCTACAGCTGACTAGCAGTGGCTCTTCAGAGCTACAGATAAACATTTCCAACTTTTAGCTGCAGATTTGGGGATCAAAACTTGTAACTCTCTGCTTGTAAAGAATATCACCTAATACTGAGTTATTTTCCCTGTACCAAAGACACTAGGTACTAGAGAGTTCTATCTCTCAAGGAAAAAGGGAAATACTAAGGCCTGTATATACATGCTGTAGACATTTACAACAATAAGAAAAAGTATATTGTGCTTCTGGGCAATGCTTGAGGGAGTCAGCACACACCTTTGTGTTGCACCATGCAGCAATACATTCCCAGCAGAAGAGGTGGCCGCATGGCGTGGCCGTGGCATGCCGGCGTTCTTCTAAGCACAGAGCGCAGCGTGAGCTGCGGTTAAGGATCCTCTCTTCAGGTTGTCTGAAGGAAACGATGGTAGACAGTTATTCTTCCCCTTTGGGGCAACTCCGAAAGGGAGATGGATTCTGTGGTTGGTGTGTGTGTAAGAAATGAGAAAAGTTTCAGGGAACTAGGAAGCTATTTCCAGGCAATCTCAGAATCTACAAACAAGGCCTTCCTTCTGGTCTTATTATGTACTCTAGTTATGTATTTTTACTATTTTATTACTCAATATTCCATAGGCTGGAAATCCAGATTCTACATCTACAATAAAAGCCCTCTAGAATAACACATTTTAAAGTACAATGGCTACAAGTCTATATTTCTAACACTACATAACTCCCAACTATAAGATCAAACCCTGAATTTCAAAGGCGACTTAGATGCCACTATTGCTATCAATTCTCCTCCCCCTTTACAAATAATGCCCAGACTTTATACATCTGATAGGAGAGGTTATGGTGTAGCTTCCATTCTTTTCTCGCCCTCTGTCGATGCTGGAAGTTGTAGGCGTAGATGCTGAGCATCAGCCCCAGATGCAGGAGTGAAATGATCCCAAGTAGCTTGTAACTTGATCGAATGGCCTGGTCATCTTCGGAGAATCCTACAGAGCGTAACTGGAGAACAGAAGAGTCAAGCAAAGCCATCAACTGATGGTAAGTTAACAGTTAAGTACTTTAGGGAGATTTTGTCACAGAAATGGCTCTGTTCAAATGTTTTGTGTGTGGGAAAGACCAAGTCCTTTCTAGAGCTTCAGCTACCCCCAAATAGATTAATGCTTTGAGGTGTTAGCTTTCATCTTGTGGGGTATCTCCCAGTTAGTGAAATCATACTGCAATAATTTTTATGCCAGAAGATGCAAACGTTTCATTACTGGTATTTGGTGATTTAGGGGTTTTTCTAGTGAAAAACGAGGCAAAATGTATTTTTAAGTAAGCATTAGAACACGTAACATCCCCGGTTTTGTCATTTAAGGAACCTTCCAGAAAGAAAAACGGTGTCTGAGTAAACACCCCATTCTGTACGTTTGTGACCGTGCCCAATTGAGAAACAGAAGCATAGGGAACCACTCACGTATGTGATTCCTGTTGTCCTTTTAGACAAATGGTAGAAGATGCCATTCATATAAAAGACGGCTAAGTGCAACCTCCGGAGGACTGGGAGACTTTGCTTGACGATACGAACAGCCCGACCGAGAAATACTCTCTGCCACTCCATTAATCGGCTGACCCGTCTCTGCATCCAACTTCGCAGCAATGTCCGGCTTTGGAATCCACCCAAGTTCCTGCTCTGCAGAGTTTGCAACCCGCTGGAGTTTGCCTCAAGCTCCTGTTCGAGTTGGGCCAATCCCTTGTCTAACAAGTAAGGCAAGACGGTGTGCAGAGACACCAAAATGGCCCTGCGTGTTAATGAAGGGACTTTCCTCTTCGATGGATCTACTTGGATAACGTTGACATATTCTTCACCAAGAGTTTGATGGGGGGGGGGGGGGGGAAGCAATAAACAATGGAAACCCTGAAGAGATTATTCCCAATGCAGGTTTAGGCTCTATCAACAGAAGCATAGCTCTTAATCGTGGGGCATCTGATCAGCTTTAGTTTGGGCTGGTCAGACCCCACCTTGAACGCATTTTAAAAAGGATTCTGACAAGCAATCAAGGACGGAGGGACGGGAATTGAAACCCCGTGATGAGAGAGGGAAGGAATTTGGAGTATTTAGCTTTGAGAAAAGAAGGTGGATGGGGAGGGTTAAGGTTTGAGGCTGGAACCAATTCTCCAGGGAGGTAGAGGCCGCCCTTTCATACAAAGGCTGGACAGCCATCTTCTTTAATTTAGATTCCTGTACCGGGTATAGGGTTAGACCTGATGGCCCCCTCCAACTTTCAGTAAACTTCAAACGGTCAGATATTGAGTCGGATCATCAAGGCCAAACAATTTGGATACGATCATTACCTGAAAGGGTAGTAAGGGCGAAATAGGCGACGTCTGCGAGCAGCTCGATCTCTTTTTGCCATTCTAGCCAAACTTTAGCACCTAAGGAGCCAGAATATGGAATTACCTTACCAGAAAATGTTCAGTTTCTCCAACCAACATGGGGTGTTCAAGAAATACCACCGCCACCCCTCCAATGAGCGATGCAAAATTAAGGATAGCAGCCTGCTGTGTACTGCTGGTGCTTGTTATGGAACTTTTTATACATTGAACTGATTAAATGATACTGGTTAACGGTCCTGATTAATGACAAAAGAGGCAATTCTAAAACTGAACAGGGCTCGCTCCTTCCCTCTCGCTTGAAGGGCCAACATCTTGCTTCGCAAGCAAATCTGGCCTTCTAGACAGATAGGAACTGTAGGAATATTTATTTATGCATCTGTTTACATTTAAAGTCCCATTTAAGGCAAAAGGGTGCCAGAAACGGCTCCGGGGGTCAAGGGGGCGAGAAGGCGAAGGGGCCTCACCCGCCAGGCCAGCCACGGCGGCGCCGGCCCTGTTCCTCAGCGCCCCCCGGTAGAGCTCGTCCTTCTGGGCGGAGCGGACCAGGCGAGCCGGCCCGGCCTCCACGGCCAGCGGCATCGCGGCGGAAGAAGTGGCGCAGCCGCTCGGGGTTCTTCTTCCCTTCTCATCGTCGCCGGATTGGGGCGTCATCAAGTGCCGGCGCGGCGCAGGGCTTCGCGTCATCAGAACGCGAGAGGGAAGCGATTCCCTTTATAGAGTTACGAATGTTAGAGACGCGACTTCCGGGAATTAGAAATCTACCTCGCTCTAAGGCAAAGAACGGCCTTTAGCGTTCGTCTAATGTAGATCAATTGTACGCCTGCCTATTCGGAAATTGATGGATTGCTTACGTGCCAGCAAGGCGATGTCGACTTTTGGCGACCCCATAGAGAGATACGTTCCGAAAGACGCCCGCTAAATTCAGACCACTCGGGCTCACGTTCCAACGACCCAACGGTTGTCTTCCGGAAGCTTTAGACTATACTAACTAGACTAACGTGCAGGCTAGTATACTAGTCCTAGCGCGAAAAATGCGGGATGGTAACAAAAATAAATTGTATAAATGACCTCGGAATCTAATTCCTCTATTTCTGTAGAGATTTCGTAAATCTATGATCCTCGATTACGTCAGCGGAACGCAGTCCGCGGCTGCTGCGGTCGGCTTTACGAAAAGGACGCACTCTCCAGCGTAACCCACGAAACTATTTCCCTGAGTCAGCCTGGCCGCCATGGCAACCTCGCGCTTGCGCACTCGCGTCATTGCCATGGCAGCTTTTAAAACGCCCGCCAATTCAGGGCGGGCGGCTGCTTGGTCGGTTGTCGCTTTTCGTAAATGTAAATGAATACATTTAGAAAGGAGGGCCGTTTAAAAGTAACGAAGCAGGGAAGCTTAACCAGCACAGCATAAATATGTGTTACTCTCTGCCAGCCAAACGCTGGCTTATCTATTTATTTATCGATTTATTGATTTAGGGCCTGTGAGGATGAGAGGCCTGAGGGAGGCTGGCATTTTGGCCCTTGAATTTTGTAAATAGGAAGGGCAGGTTGAAGCAGAAAGCCTTGTTCCC